ATGTTTAAGTATATTAATCGACAAGCACTTTGCGCGCATGCCTTAACGAGCACACGCGAATGCCAAATCTAATTTCGTCGGCTCGGTAGTTAATAATTGATCGTAAGGGCGTATTTGAATACTAGAGATCTATCTTTCTATGGTCGGTCGTCGACAGGACTTTGATGTTTTGACGGATCGACCGGCGTCCGCAGAGTGACAATGGACGTCGTTAATATTTATGAGAAAACATACCGAACAGGCGAGAGCTGAATAATTGCAATGCAAGTCCGACCGCGGGGTCGACTGTTAGTAGCTTGTTTAACAATAATAATAATAATACATGTAAACGATTGTGATTGAAAGTAGTAAGTAATGTTAATAATAATTAAAATCGAGTTATGCGTTTGTATTGATTATGGTCGAATAAGACGTAGAAACACTTGTTTGAAGCTGCCTAAAGCATCTAAAGAAGAAGTTTACCTTTATACGAAACGACGAGGACCTTCAAAATATAAGTGACTTTTTTTATATAAATTTTACAGCGGAACAAAATGAAAATTATATTTCTCAGTATCGCCTTTTCGGGCGGTGTTTACTTATCCAATATCTCTCTAAAACATTGACGAACAATGTTGTTTATTAACAAAAACTTGATTTTTTAAAATTACCAGTTGTACCCTTTTCGTACATCGTTTATAAAGGCAGTTTTTTATTTTTTATATAAACTATAGAGCATCAACAACAACGGTTATTAACTTGATGGGTAGTTCATTAAATAGTAAAGATTTTTTTATGTTAATACATTTTCTACTAATTTTAAATGACACGTTTTAAAAGTTTTATTTTATGAACCTCCGTGCGAGTTTCCTCGGTGAGGAACTGAATACCAGGGTTACCATGTTGCAAGAAATGAACTGTAAATAAAAAATGTAGTAACTTTTGATTTATTTTTTCCTCGAACCAGGGAATAGGCAAATACTAATCTTAACGGCGCGCCGTGATGAATCATGCGAAATTCTTTTTCGAACGAAGAACGGATGCGATGACGATCACTCAAAATCAAATACATCAAATACCTATTATATATTATGTAGCTGCCTGTACGGATTAAGCAAATTGCTCGTTCGCGTTCGGCGGTATAGTATAATTTAAATTATTATATCATACGAACCGCGTATTCCCCGACAACGAGCAATTTGCACCTCCGTCGTACCGCCGTAGACAATTTGAATATTATCATCTGGTGTAGATCAGCTTTCATTAGTCAATGTCTGGCGTAAACGACTCGACCGCGGTGCAACGTCGTCTTTTACACGGAATGCATGTCCGATTGTGTGTGTGTGTGTGTGTGTATGTGCATTTTCATGTAAATAACATATACTTAACTACAAAATATCTATAACCACATGTATGTGTTATCAGATTCCAGTAGTTAATATTTTAATCTGATTGCCCCAGATTTTAAATGGACAGGATACGGCTACACGCCAATTTCCCCCGTTGTCTTTCCTCGGGTCTCGCGCATTTAATATATTTGTAATTTTTTTTGTGAATAATCTTTTCGATTGTCCCTGATTATTGTTATTAAATTATGCCAACTCTTATTACACCGCACGCCGTACAAGACACAGAACGTCGTTATGCGGTCATATTGTATGAGAGATGTTTCCATCCTCGGGAGGAGGGGCTATTCGAAATAATATATTGTACTGCGCCGGGCAAGCGTGGGTCGTGACAGATATACCACAATATACTTATATATGATTACTAGATAATGTCATCTGCGGTACACGTGTGGTGTACATTTTTATAACCGTCAGCATCGATTTGCATGTCCACGCGAATATACTATGTCACATCCGCGACTCGAGGAAAACACGAGCAAAATATTGTCAATGGTGGATATGTTTTTTGTCCATACACTGTACAGGCGTAAGGTGTACTATGTGTAATTGATAGGTGGGATAAATTATGTTATTAGATGACGGAAGCGTTGCATTTTTTCTGACGGGCACACGAAGAAGAAGAAAAAAAACCGCTCGAGAATTCTTTGAAACTAAGAGCATATTATTGAGTTTTTTTTTTTTTTTTTGCACCACTATTGTATTGATCATTATTGAAGATAATATCGAACTCAGAAACCATTAATATAGAACGCCACAGGGGCTAGGGTTAAAACTCCCTCTTGACTACGCCATCGGTGAGAAAATAATGTATACAATACCAATTCGCTTTCTTTAAATATTGTTTGCGCAAGAATTATTATTAAATATTGATTCCGTCAATGGTCATCAGCCGTAAGTCATCACAGTTAAAAATCGATATTGTTTATGGTTCATCGGTCACTATACGATTTATAAACGATCCAAGGACGAGGACAACAATAGGATCTATTTTCTTTCGGGAAAACAATTCGCGACAATTACAATAAAAATCGTCAATACTGTTATTAATTTACCATTATTGTTGTGTACCGCCGATGACATTGCTGCGGGGTTCGCTGTGGTCAAACGCTGTAATACCTACCAATATAATACCTGTACAATACTATATTTTGACTTGACAAGTTTGCGCAGCTTCGAGGGGGGGGGGAGGGCATTTTTTTTTAAATAACCATAATACGCGGTTTTATGTTTGGATAATATATTATAATCATATTATCGTGATGACCGAACGCATCCGGTTGTCCGTCGGTCGTCGACAAGATTGATTAACGCCCGTCGTCGACCGTCTATCATCTGCAATACACGCGAGTCTGTAATACCGATGAGCTCAAACGAATTCACCGTTTAGGTCGTCTACATAGTATATCTACACTACAGTGTACCTATATATATATATAGAATAATATACTGGTTTACGGTGGGCCCGTCGGGCAACGACCAAGTTTGTACAAGAGAACGCGGACGCTGAAAACCAAAGCCGTAGCCTAACATTGCCTTACCGGGGTGAATCCCTGGAATATTTTCTAATCGAAACAAACAGTATGGAGTTTGTGCGGCCGACCATAGCCGTGGCACGAGGCAACTGCAGCGACAACACCGTCGTCCGCTGTACCGTCGCACATATATCCTTGTAAACAATCCGGTCTAAGTTGTGTTTAAGTTTAATTACCAAAGCCGATATTGTCATGTCGACCTAATAGGATGGTCTGTCGTGCATGCGAAACGATGCCGGCGGAGACTACGTGTCCGCCATAATATAGCAGCGATGCACTCGACGGTTCGCGTCCTCGGCACGTCGCCGGTCGTGTGTCCGACACGGGGACGAAAGACAATCATAGAAATAAATAATAATTGAAGAAAAATATAATACTCGTGCATTTGTGTCGCGGGGCAAAAATCGAATCTCAATTAGCCGCCAACCAAACGCGTACGACGTTGACCGAAAACAACAAAATTACTAATGGCAGCTGTTGTCTGTCGAGACGACTAAACGACATTTTTCCATGACTTTGCCGTTACCGTTGATCAGAACTCAGCGAGGGGCTTAAGGGGTATCTAATTCCCGCGTTAAAACACAATACTCATCACAAGTGCGATCATCGTCGTCGACACTCGTCGCGTTCAAACGTGTGTTTTATGTTAAAGCGTTCGACGTATTGTTGTTGTGATTATTAATGTTCTTGAAATAACGACTTTACCCCAGATAAGTGTTCTTCCTTGGTTTTTGAGTAGTTGCAGCAATACAAATTTATGCAATTGATTATAAGATACAATTTATGTTGATATTTTAATAAACAATTGTATAGTCCATGCTAAATAAAGATCAATAAAAATATATATGCACTTGGGGTATTTAAGTGATTGTCGATAATCGGCCGATAGATATTCAACCGATAGTTATAACCTGCTGATAGATGTAGAAAAACTTTCTGAGCAGGTGTTATTCCGAAAAAAAAAAATTCCAGGAGTTTTGACAAAGAGGTTGTTACGAATCTGCTCAGCTTATTGGCTAGCATGAGGATTGAAAGAAAATGTATCCAACTAATTAACTTAAATGTTAGAATCCATTTGTCTAATAATAATAAATAATAATATAAATGAAGAGTGAAAGTGTCAAACGTTCCAAGTGCCAAAGTATAAAAATTGAACTTTATAATTTGATTTGTATTTTATTCATTACCGGAAACACTTTAACATATTTTTGAGTTTTAAATATGATTGTTTTTTTTTTTATAAATAACTATTCTTTACTTGAAAAATTTACAAAATTGTTTCCGGTAATGAATAAAATACAAATCAAATTATAAAGTACAATTTTTATACTTTGGCACTTGGAACGTTTGACACTTTCACTCTTCAAATATCTAACTATTACAGCTCAAATGTTAAATTTTTAAGAAATCGATTGTCGGTATTTTTATACTACTCAAGTATGATGAATCTATCCATTAAAACATTTTTTATTCAACAATTTCTCTAATATAGTTTCATAATATTTTATTTTATTTTCTATTTTTACTATACTCTACCTTAAAATATTCTAACAATATTATCAATAAATTTGTACATTTTATTGAAAATAAATTATTAAAATTTTTTTAGTATTGGACATTGATTGACCTAACAATAAAAATATAGTTATTTATGGTCTGTATTTTGTCCCTAACCTACCCTAAGATAATTGATTCATAGAAATATCCTCGTTTACATGTTCTTATCAACTATGTAATTACATACTTGCTGGTACATTACATACAAAGGGTCTAAGATGATTCTTTGGCGACCCGGAAAAACTTAGGTATACATATTTTAAATTAAGGGCGGTTCGGACGATTTTGGCCGGCTTGCATAAAGTACAAGCTTCAGTAATGGACTAGTTCCGGGTTGCATAAACGTTTAATGAACCAATTTATAGATGTTCAGTGGTTCCTTGAACACAATAGCTTAGTGGCCCGCGTTTGGTCCAATAAATACATTTAACGAACCGTTAAATGTATTTGATTCTTATGGCAACCCAGTGTGGGAATTTTAGCCTGCGACTTGAATTTGAATTTGAAATAAAACTAAACTCACTTGGCAAACGGTTCGCTGTCTAGCCGATAATAGTTTTCGATGGGTTCGGTTTTGACCAACCGCATGAGTTGTTTCTCGTCGACCACGACCACCCCTTGTTCCACGTCCGACGGTTTCCACAGCACCGTCTGTCTGGCCTTTGTCTTGTTGGCTTCCAACTTGCGCTGCACCGCGCCTTTGGCCGCGGCCCGGCCGCCTTTCTGACCCGACGCGCTCATACGGCTACTGATCGCCCCGCTGCCCGCCGTCGGGTATATCAACATAGTTGCACACCAGCACTTGGCTGTGACCGAAACCGTTTGCGGACCACGAAATCCGTAACACGCCGAGTAAAAAACTATATATATATTATTTTCGGTCGGTGTTTTTTGTTTTTATCAACAACCCGCGCTCGAAGGTGTCTCTTAGACAACGCCAAACAAATTAATTTTTTTAACTTTTTAATAAAAAATAATCGGACACCGTTTCCCGGCTAAAACACGGCTCTGAATTCAAATTTCGGACGATTCGAATGTAGTGTCAACTCCGGCGGACGGATATCGCGTGCGCTAGTGATTTTTTTTATTAAACAAACGCAATGTTCAACAACGACAACAACAAAAAAAAAAAAATATTGTAATCGCCGCAACGCGTTTACCGGCGGTTCGCTTCGACTAGAATCGACCGCGTTCGCAAGCGTACTGACTGTTGTGTGTGTGATCGCCGGCAGGTATACACAGAGGTCCTCTCCTCCTAAGTACACTTTAGCCGTACACGCGCTATTCGTAAGTGGGAGCATACGGACCGACCTGGATACGACGTGACGGACGTATGCGGGAGAGCTTTGATGTCGGCGTCGGTCGCGGTGATGAATAATTGTGCGTATCGTTATTGTCCGAGTATAGCCTAATGGACGGTGTTGGGAATTTGTCCGTGGGGCAAGTTTTTTTTTTTTTTTATCATATTTTATAATATTACATATTATTTCGTTTTTTCGTCTATCGCGCACGTCCTACTAAAAAAAAAATACACCTAATTGTGATTTTACACGTACAAATTAACATTCTCAATTGTTTACTGACTTGGCTTCTTGTTTTTCGCCCAACTCCCGTTCCGGATGACGTGAATTTTTAATGTTAACTTAACTAGAAAAAGATATCATAGATAGGTGTAGCGTAGGTGCTGCGAAAATAATTCTGGAGCGTAGGAGGCGCCACAAAATAATAGTAAATCCTTTTGGAACGCCGGCCGAGGTCTATTATATATATGTACATTTTTTTTTAACAGTAATTTCTATCGCCTTGATCGCATATTATAATATAGGACCGCGTTTAGCAACGAAACGATCGTTGAAATTAATAGGTTTGATCCAGATCGATTTCATCCGATATACGAATACATATATATCATACCAGACTTGTACCTCGCCTAAAGCTTTGTATTATATTTGGCGGGTATTTTTTTTTTTTTGTTTTTTTGACGTTTCACAATCCTGTTTAATAATATTTCTACATATTATTTATTCAAATGTTATTCTTTCTTAACGCCAAGTCGTCATAATAATATATTACTTATGTGCTTTTATTAAAAAAATATTATGTTTAACAAAAACATATTACATATACACTGATGTATCATATTATTATTATTATTATGTCAAAATCGTGTGTGTTCATCACCGGTTGGCTTTGTGTCCGTTCACGGCCACGGAACGTCCGATATTCCAATCGCGTTGGCGGTTGCATAATATTATGATGTTTGATGAGTCGGTCTAAAGCATCTGCTTTATTATGAAACACACTAACCGTATCTGATCGATTCATTTGCGATATTTAAACTTGTAGACCGCAATTCGATCAGTTACGTTTGAATTGTCAATTTTCGAAAATTGACAAGTTTGGCCATAACGGTTTTAGTAAAAACAAGTAAGTAATATTGACTTCAGTATTTTGTTTTGTTTTTAATAACAATGCGTTACTATTGTTCATCGCCTAGCGATTACCGACTGGTGGGGTAATACCTATACAAATATAATTTAGCAAGTAAAAAACGCATTACATTGAAATCGGTTTACTCGTTTTTATAACTTTATTATGCACACCAATAAACACATTATTCACAAGTTTAATGTTCTCATTTGTTCTATAGAAATATTAAGTTTCGTGTGAAATGTTTATTTTTTTTGTTTATTTAAGTATGTTAAATTTGAGTTCTAATTAAATAAATATATATAATCGCAAAAAATTGTGATAAAGCGATGTATTTATGTAATTTTGGAAGGCGTAAGCCCTTCGCGTGCAACCGCAAATAAAAAACTTATATTTTCTGTTGCGTTATCTTCTTCTTCTACTTTTTCAGCTTAACGGCCCATGAAGTCTCACACGTGTAACTTGTAAGTGACTCAGATAGCTGATGTAGAGCAGTGTTGTTGACCTTCTCGACAACAATTTCGATTTTAACAACTTATGGACGCTATGATAACATCGGTTCTCGCTTGGCAAATTACTTTTTGATTATCAAACTTTGCAATTTTCTGATAACCTTAGACGACACCGGTCCAATACCCTTATAAATTCTTAAATAATTAGGATAATTATACATGTACGATGTCATTAATACTAGGTTGATATATTATTATTCTTCTAATTTAAATAACTGTTTACCATAATCTTAGAGATGATAATAATTATAATTTATAGTGTTAATATGAATGTTCATTACAGCATGCATAGTCATATAAAATAGAACACAATAGGTAATTAAAAATTAGATAAGTTTTTTGGTGTTAAACTTAAATTGTACTATAAAAGATTTTGGACCTTGATTATCACCTTTTCTTGAACTCTTATTGTCCTATTTCTAGGGTTTCGGTTTTAATTTGTAAAAAGTATTATTGTTGTAAAGTGTAACACATTTAAACGCAGACAAATAGACAACACGCTTTCTTAAAGTACAATAACTAATTTTTACTGTAATGTATACAGTGATTGTTGTCTAGTGAACGAGCAGCTAATAACATCTCGGCTGATATTGTCACTCGATAACATTATTTACAAATATTTAAAATAAATTTGCACTACTATGTACAAATAGTCCTAGAACCTGTATGTTTTTTTTTATTTTACCGTAAATACAAATGCACCGAAAAACGCATTGGATAGTATTGAAATTATGAATGAAAGCATAACGTTAGATATATTATATTCGACATGTCAATTGTGTTATTCAACCGTCAAGTTTTCTTCGTCCGTAATAGTAACGGAGCACCCACTTGCTTATGAGCTTGGTCAGTTGGCGTTATTTCAAAAATCTCGGGGTCATTGGTTGATTAGTACGGACGCATTATTTGTGATAATAAATAAAGCATTGTATGTATATATATCCCAAAGCCAACGGTTTATCGATGGCGCCCCGTTGTTTTTAGAATAAACAATAATAGTAGAAATTACAATAGCTTCTACGAGCACTAGGTACCACTTATTAAATTTATCCATAATAAGATTTAGTATTCAGTGGATTGTTGTTCTGTCGTTGTCAAATCCCATTCGACTCCAGTAGCAATAAAATAATAATTATAGATGATTATCAAATGCTTTTGACTGTTTGAAATAGAAAAACGAGAGTTTTTTCGGATTTTGATAACTAGGGTAGGGATTTGGAAGAAATCAGATGGTGACTACCTTTTCTTGGGATAGCATTGAAATTTGAAGGAAAATATTTAAATTTCACTGTAGCGAGATAAAACACTAAAAAAAAAAAAGGATTTTTTAACAGGATTCTAATAATTTCTCTACAACTATAACACAGCAATATAGTACCACATACAACACTTTTTAGCGATAATTATTTACTATGAAACATATACTGTCCGGATAATCACAATGACGACCAAAGAGTTTTAGGTTCGAACAGTGTACAGAACTATTATTATCACGGTTATATATTTGTTTGTATTTTGTTCTCGGGCAAACAAAATATTTCACATTGTTTATAAATGATGTTTTATACGGTTAACGTTAAACGCTGTCGCTGTCATGTAACTGTGTGTAAGTGCTACGCAGACTGGTATCGTATACATCAGCTCAGGGCACAGCCATACAACCCCATGCGGTATAAGTTATAACCGACTTTTGGCGTATATAGATATACCGGGTTCTCTGTGCGCTCACAGTAAATACTATACGTACATCACCGCCGGACGAGGATTGTTTTTTGTATTTTAATCATACTACCATTCCTCGTCGTCGTCGCATCTCGGCTCGTTCGATTTTATTACCTCCGTGTGAATTTTTTTGTGTTTGTTTGTTTTACGGCCAAAACAGCGCGCGCAAATCGTGACCTTGGACCGTTCGAACTGGTCTCTGGATTGATCGACGATGATTTATGCTTGAAAAAAAAAACCGATATATCATCTAAAAAGTTAAAAAAAAATAAAATCCGTTTATAACCGGTTTGGGGAAGCGACAAAAAAAAAAATGACAATCATCGAACAACAGCGTAGTAAATTAGTAATACAGTATTTTATGGAACAAACGCGCCGTCGAGTCGTGTATCCGGTAAATATCTACTGTACCTACTATTATGAACACATCTAGCGTGTGAATTCGGACGATTTTATATGGTTTTTTAATTTATTATCACCACCGAACACTTATACTTTGAGCCGAGCGCCTATCCGTGGGCATACGTGTCTGACAATACAACAGCAACGATAATACTGTACATTGGCTTACGGTTAATGCGTCCTCTAAACAACACACAATATTGGTATAATACACAACCACCGCCGAGGCCGAATAAAATTGATCGTCGCCCACGTTGTCCAGCAAGACCAACTGTAGGCTAGTCAGAGCCGTCGATCGGAAAGATTTAGCAAGCTTCAAAAAGATTCTAAGATTATGCGAGCAATTTTCTTTTTTTTTTCGGCCTGTCAATAAGTACCAGTCCCGCTGGAATGTTTAAGCGCGACACATGTTGTTCAATTGTTTCAAACACATTGTTTTGTGTACTGTAAACACTAGGTATAATTTCAAGTTTATTACAAAATAATGTGCACAGACTTTATTTGAAAATGGAACAGGAAGATCGACTTTAAAAAACCCGTTTTGTGAAAATTGTATCAATAAGTTATGAATATCTATGGACTAAGATTAAGTGTATGAGAGGCTCGCTGTAGGCATTTAAGTACTAATTAGCACACAATCACAGTCGTCGTTAGCAGTAACGTTATTCTAAAAAACTACCCTTCGTTTTCCAAGTGCAGCTTTACCGAAAATTCAGAAATAATAACTATTTAGCTTTTTGCAAACGGCTAGTAAGACGCTAGTGCAAACTTAATGTTTTTTAATTTTGTTTTAAAATTCGTACATAACCAAATATATTGTAATCGAATTCGATATGTCCACCAGTTGAGTGCACAAGTGTGGTGTAGCGAGTAAAGTATCTTTTTTGTTTTTAAAGAACACCAAATATTATTGTTTACCGACTGGCGTACCTATACAAATATAAATACAGAGGTATGTAAAAAAACATTTCCATTGAAATCGGTTTACTGGTTCTTAAAACTTAATTAAGCACACCAATTTTTTTCCGTTTTTTTTTTGGAACGTACCTATTTGCTACTACTCTACCGTAGTTATACCTTTGGTGAAATATGTTGACTATTGAAGTGTTTTGTTACAGAAATTATTAGATCTCAAACGCATTCGTTTACGGTT